CTTTTTGCACTTTGACTTGTTCCTGACATTAATGAGGATCATTTTTCACAACGTGAAATTAACAATAATGTATAAAACACAACTAACAGCATCAAAACATCGCGATATCATGAATATTATTGGTCATTGGCGGGTTTCTGGTTCACTGAGGATGAACAAAAATACAAGTGTAAGCATGATTCGGGTTCTGGTCAGTACGTGTGAGCTCCTATCGTCCTTACTGACCGGACCAACAAAGGAAATGCTTTAATCTGAGCTACACATCACCCCAAAGGGCCTCTCTAATGTTGTAGAAGGTGTCCATTAAGCCAAGAAAAAGTTTCAAAACCGGAATCTTAATAAAAAAGGAACCAGGAAACAGAGACTTTTGCATGAGTCCTTCAGTTTTTCTGTCTTTGTGGATGTTTGTCAACAGTTTGGATTCTATTGTTCACGATCTGTTTTTTTATTTAGGCTTCACACCCTGTGAAAGTTATCTCCCAGATGTTGTTTACAGGCAGACTTTAGGAAAACTGTTGATTCTGACTCGCTCTGTAGACACTATTCCTCTGACTTTTTAAAGAGCTCAGTCGTGGCCCTCTTTATCTGCTCAGCGTGACTGTTACTGTGTTTATTTTGGTTCTGTTACTCATGTTAGGCTTCTGGTTTTCTCTGCAGGTTCTGTCTGGATTGTATATACTTAAGGGTTTTAATTGCAGTGTTTATGCTGTCAAAAGTTAAAACAACTTTTCCACATTCCCCGTTTCCACATCATTAGCTGCTACTTCCTTGTTACGATGTCACAGGGACATTTCAGGCATTTCACACACAACAGAAACCCCCCGTCCTTTACAAAGACATTAAGACTAAACAAACTAAGACAAAAACCGCTATTTAAATATGTAACTGGACAGAAAAAGGTCTAAAAACAAAGACAATTTTAAAACAGTTCCTTGAAATTCCACTATAATGAGCAAAGAACCACCTTTTTATTTAAAATACTTCACCTCCTGTTATAAAAAACGAGATTCCTTTTTAGTCAGTAAGAATTCAGATGACTATTTAGACGGAAAATAACCACTTTCAGAACTGTCAGGGCAGCTTTTTGTCCCGTACGGGCTTCCGTTTGGCCATTTTAAAGTTTCCGGACTCAGCAGGCGCTGTAACACCGCCATCTAGTGGCTGCTCACGGTCACTACAGGCCCCTAAAATCTGGCCTCCTTTGCAAGAAAATATGTAAATATTTTAAAGCTGGGCAGTATTTTGGAACCATGATTACTTTAAATGTGTTTCATGTAGAAACTGGATACGATTCATTGCTTTTCTTTGTGGCTTAAATGTTATTATTTTACATTAAAACCTGCTGTGAGGACAGTTTTCTGACTCCTGTTGAATTCATTTTCTGATTTTTCTCTGAGCTGAGAAATTCATTGAGCTTGCCCCAGTTTGTTTGTTTGTTTCAAACAAAGCCTCAGATTTCCCCACAGAGCTTTTTGTTTTGAGTGTTAGACATAACGATAATGAGACTCATTAATGCTCAGTTCCAAAACAGACATTCAGGTTGAGGTGACTCATCCGTGGAAATACTCCTCTTCGTCCTGTTGGAAAAAGAAGAGCAGCAGCAGCTTAAACCGGCAGCTAATCTCTCCCTCTCCCTCGTGCACAGCTCTGAAACAGCAAGCGTCTCTCGGTCAGCCCACACACTCTAATCTGACGGCAGGTCTTTCATTCGGGATTAAGGAGACTGTGAAAGAGCAAATGGCTGCAGCCCGGAGCGGAACGCACAAAATTACAGGAGGCCAGCAGGTCAAAGACCGTAAAAGCCCAGACAAAACAAACGGGCAGAGAACAGCAGAGCTCAGAAACGAATCCCTTAATCCACCCAGGCCAATTAAAACTGAGGAAATGAGCAGCTCAGCGTCTTAAATGGCATGTTAATAAATATACAATTACAATTATGGGCTTACAAATGTGGAATTTTGAGTCTTTAACTTTCTTTGGATCATATTTCTCACAGAATGAAACATTTCATTACATTAAAATGTTCTTTTAACATTATATTAGATTAGTATTATGGGCAGACAATATCTCATAGAAGGATCAGATTTACAAACTTTAAAAAAAACATCAACATTTGGTCGAATTAGCTTTGAATTATCCTTTTGTATAATTACATGCCCTTTTTTGACAGGAACTATCACTCAAATAAGCAAAGAAAAGAGGAGAAACATGCTAAATGAACAGGTTTTTATGACCAGCAGGGGCTGGGTGGGCGCCCCCTGGTGGTCATGGGGAGCTGAGCAGCCGCGTGGGTGTTGTCTGCGTGGGTGTTTTAATACAGAAATATGTGGACATGCCGTTATTCTGCAGAAATAAAGCAATCTGAACCTGTGGTTTTGTATTACCGACCTTAAAAGTATCGTTTTATAGGACCACCAGATGATACTGTCCTGTAATTATGTTCCTAAATCACTCATTTTCTGACACAAGCATCAGAAATAACATGTCTGTAAAGGTAAAATAGCACCAAAGCCGAAAAACAAAGCCTAGAAAGTCTAACAGAAGCAAAGTAATCATGAAAAGTAAGGTTAAACTTCCTTAACTTGTGAATAAAAGTGGCTTTTCAAACACATTTTCCCTTTTCTGCTTTCAGTTTTGTTTGGGACAGAGCTCATTGATACACAAATAAGTCAGAAATAAACGGAAAAAAAGGAGACGGGTAGAATTTTATAAACCTTTTTGCTATCTTTTATTATTGTGATGCATTTAATTTCCAAAAAGAATGACGCAGTTCCATCGGTGGTACAGTTTACAGTGACTGGGCTCCACATATAGAGTATTTGACATGCAATTAAAAAGGAAAAAGAAACATAATAAGAACTCATATTTTACATTCTTAACCTCTGCACCCTGAAATGATTTTCACCCTGAATTAGAAAAGAAGACCGTCATGATTCTGTAGAAACTCCGTAAAACGAGCTCCCTTACTCATTTTTTTTTTCTGTGAACTGAATCCCTAAATTCTTCTAATTGTCTTCATCAGTCAAAATTTGGGGCGGGTCACGTGATCAGAAAAAGCGAACGACTGGAATGTATTCAGAGTTTTATCCCCCCGTCGGGGTACGTAAACATGTCTGGACTCAGCCGGGCAGTGAGCTCATTCAGAACCAAGGAGACCAACGTCCAGGTCCAGCCTCCTTTAGAGAGGCGTTTCAAACAGAGAACAGAAACCTTCTCCCTTTCAGTCGCACAATCAATTCCCCTTTTTTTTTTTTTTTAGAGCGAACCAGAAGCTTAATCTTATCGTTTTGGACGAGCTGTGGAGTTTCTTTGTTTTTTTTAAAATGGCAGTTTCTGGGCTCCTGACAACAGAAGATGCTTTGATAATCCAGTTTTCCCTTAAAAATCCCCCCCGTAGACGCTGGTCTGTAAACTGAGGTGGATTTATGGGACTATTTAATGTCTTTGAGGCCTTTCGTTTGAAGATTTACACCCATCTCCTCCCTCTCATTGTTAAAACACACAGTTTATATGCAAATTCCCGCTTGTTCTAAGCCCCGAAATCGAAAGAAAAAAACCCCGGATTTACGATAGCGTCTACCAAACGGAGGACTGATCTAAGCCGTTTTTACACGTGTCACTCCACAGACGGGTGGCAGCTCATGCAAACCGGGACGGATGGGAGCAGGTGTGTGAGCCCACGCACAGGTGTGTGAGCCCACGCACAGGTGT